GTTTACCATCAGCATTGAAATCAAGTGTTTCATCCGCTTGTTTGACATTCTTTTGTTTTTTGGGTTTAGGTGTTTTAGTTGAAGATTTTTGTTGTCCACCTTGAAGCCATGTCTTTCGTAATCGTATCTACGTAGACATTGATATTCTTTAATGATTTCTCCGATCATTCTCATATCATAATTGAAATCACGTGTTTTGTTACAGACATGTATATTATTCAATGGAAATCATGAGATGCGATTCGTCTATAATCAGGTGGAAATATATATATATAAATAAATTCATTTGTCTTTTCGATTGAAGCGGAAGACGACGACGATGATGATGATGGTCCTCTGGAGAGTGAAATTCGTATCTGTTAAGCTCATTTCATAAACAATCAATTTGAGATAAATCGATAGATAGAGATGTAACTGACAAACGTGAAAGTGAATATGATCATTTGCCTATCACTATCACTCGAACAAGAACGAGCATTGTGAGTCAATTGGCAGGTGGTAATGATTTCTGTTTAATCGATACGTTTATTGAAATTTGATGGGGGGCGAATTCTTACGACAATTCAATTGATTTTCATAATTACTCGAATTTCAAGTGGAATATGAAGTTTCTTTTTTTCGAATAACAATGAATAGAATATGATTTTAGTAGACACATAATATGTTTATTCAAACTATATATTAACACTTCAGAATGTCAATTCTTTCTTTTTCTTTAGAGACTTGTTCGATGTTTGATTATCAAACCTTTCTTCAACATATTCAATTCTTAGATGTTTTCCGTTCACAGATAGATGTGAATGTTCTGTAAAGTAGAAAGTGCGATGCTAAACCGTATGAATGAGATAAGTGCAAAGAATATCATTTCTTTCCGACAGTAGATGTCGCATATTCGCAAGCGTTGTATTTAATTGCATATGAAGGACAATGAAAACTGCTTTACATTGGTAGAAACGATCAACCTTACGAATTTCTCTTTCGTACATGTTGTTATAACTAGAAGTTTACGCGTTCAAATTATTCTCAAATTATCAACGTACTTGTATACCGATTTAATCTTTTGCTCATTTAGGTATATTTCAAGATGAAAAGTAAACCAACTGAAACGAAAACTGAAAAAGCCTCGAATGAAAATAAAACGAGTGCATGTCCATTTGATTTAAATCTTTGTCGTAAAGCATTAATTGCACTCAAACAGATCATCAACGAAGCACAACAAGGTCATAAGCAATTGTTAGATGATTCAATACCAATCAGTCTCTATCTTCACGTACATAAAATACCTCGATGTACGTATCTTCGATTAGCATCTCAATTACCTCATCCGTTAGTTGAACAAGATACGCGTGATGTATGTCTTTTTGTTCGTGATGATGACAAAACTGGTCGAGAATACGAATCCACAGTTCGTCGGTATAAATCAATCATTGAACAATTCAAACTTCCATTCAATGTTGATATTATGACTCTCAAACAGTTGAATCAAGTAAACTCGACAATTTGTAATAAGGGAACGAAGAATATGTTCGGATATTTGATTTTAGGAATTAGTTCCATATGAAGCCAAACGAAAACTATGTGCACGTTACGATCTGTTTCTTGCTGATCGTCGTATTATAACGGCATTGATGCGTGGTCAACTACTTGGTAAACATTTTCGTCATCACGGCAAAATGCCACTAGGCATCAATGTGTTCAATAAAGATTTTAAACAACGTTTAATTTCTTTATGTTCTTCAACGCTTGGTCGAATGGCGGGCACTGGACCTTTGTTTTCTATGCAATTCACCAATGTGAAACAATCAATTGATCATGGAATGGAAAATCTGCAAGCCGTTTGCCAAGTTATCGGCCAAGAACTACCCGGCAGTTGGTTAAATATTGATCACGCTTATTTCTATGGTAATAATTTACAATCTTTACCAATTTATTACAGTTCACATACGAAAAATGACGTGAAGAAATTGAATGTACCGTCGCACGATGCCAATGCAATGACTCAAATTGGTGAACTATCAACCACGGACAAAAATCTTAATGTCATTGTTGAACCCAATGGTAATATACATCTGACCAAGCGAAAGAAATTGAACGAGAATTATAAGAAGAAGAAACCTACAAAACGTTTACAAAAGACTTGGCTTCAAGGTGGACAACAAAAATCTTCAACGAAAACACCTAAACCCAAAAAACAAAAGAATGTCAAACAAGCGGATGAAACACTTGATTTCAATGCTAATGGTAAACCATTAGTTGACGCGGAATTTGTTAACCGTGTCAATAAAACAAAACTTGCGAAGAAGACTGAAAAACCAAAACATGTCGAACAAAATTATGCAAGTAAACCGGCACCAAAAGCCGAAAAGCGAAAACGTCTTTTAGCAACTGCGAAACAAATAGCAAATTCAAAAGACAACGCTAATGACGATGTTCCAACACTGGTAGCAGACGACGAAGAACGTAAGATAAAAAGTGGTGGACGAAGTAAAAAGAAAGTTCGTATAAATGTTTAAGAATATGCCTTGTTTTGTTTTTTGTTTTGATTGGTTAATAAAAAACAACCGGGCAGTTCTGCCTTTGAATTCATGTTTTGTTACTATGTAATATCCGGTCGATCTTCTGATAAGATTCCTTCACTCGTCATTTCTATTTGATTTCTTTGACGTAAAACAGCTCTTTTTCTTTTCTTTGGCATGGAAACTCATCGTCACAGAAAAGAAATAGTAAAAACAATCTGAAGGTTTTTCATTAAATCGAGTTTAGTAAAAGAAAAGAAAAGCATTGTTGTAGATGATGAACTATCGACGATAATGGAAGACGTACAAATATGCGATCAACAGTTGTTAACAAGATTTTCATTACTACCGGTGTTTTCTTTCTTATTAATGTTATATTATTGTTAAGTATTAAAGGTTTTCCTTCGTCTGCAGGTCGAAATGAACTGGTTTGTAATAAATACGTTGACGTACTGAAAGAATTCACTTGATTTTTTGTTTAGATTTCACCAAGAGGTAGACTAGTCCATCGAGAACCGCAAGTAAATGTTGCGGCAGTGTCTCCATTATCGGTAAATACCGTTCAATTGCTAATTATTCTTTTGAAAATATGCTATTGTGAAACGTAGAAAGTCGATGTTTTGTTACCGATTGTTGTTTTTGCTTGTAATCGGCCACGTGCTCTTCAAATGCATATAGAAGCATTACTCAAGTGTGTCGAAAAAGAATTGTTTTTCTTGGCAAACAACAATGCTATTTTCTTAGGATTCGAAAAGATCCACAATTAAATCCAATTATTGTCAGTTTGGATTGCAATGATCAAGCCACTATTGAAGTTGCGAAAAAGTTCGGTGATAAAATCAAGGAAATTATCCAGGTAATCAACTGATCTCTCCTATCAACATTGATCTATGATAGTTCATATTCAGTTACCTAATCTCGGTCCCCTCCATATTGTACCCTCGGAGCAACAATTGGTTGGATATTATAAAATAGCACGTCATTACAACTATTCGCTCGATTATGTTTTGAATGTTTTAAATTATGAAGCAATTATTATCACTGAAGGTAAATCGTTCTATGATTTGACACGAATCTAATCGATATTGGATTCTTTACAGACGATCTAGAAGTGTCACCTGATTTCCTCGATTATTTTCAAGCATTATATCCATTGCTTAAAGTCGATAAAACAATATGGTGTATATCAGCATGGAATGATAACGGGATCGATAGAAAAATTGAGCGGAATGCCAGTAAGGAAATCAAGATGATGTAAACGAAATATTGATTCGTCGTGGTTTTAAGGTCTTCTTCATCGCAGTGACTTCTTTCCAGGTCTTGGCTGGTTACTCACAAGAACGTTTTTCAATGAAGTTAAACACGGATGGCCAAGGGCGTTAGTTTGAATTTAGTTTAAATTTGATGGTGTATGACTTTTTGTTTGTACGCTAAATAGATTTTGGGATGATTGGATGAGAAAACCTGAACAACGACGTGATCGAGTGTGTATTCGACCAGAAGTTGCAAGAACAGGAATCTCACCTGAAGGGAAAAGAGGTGTAAGCGGGTAAGATTTCTTCGCGAATTATTTCAATTATGCAACGCTTCTATTGTTAGAGGTCAATTCTATGATAGTTATTTGAGAAAAATAATTAAAAATACGGATCCAATTGATTGGAAATCGACTGATGTTACTTATTTAATCAAGGATCGATACGATCCAGTTTTTGAATCTCGTGTCAATGCTTGTCCTGTGATGACTATATCCGATTTAGCTGCAACTGTTGGTGATATGAAATGTGCTCAGATTCGTTATGGGAATGAGAAAGAATTTGTTGCTATTGCTGACACACTCGGGATTATGAACGATTTCAAAGTAAGCGAACGTTTTCGTTTATCAATTACAGAGATCGTTTCCGAATGCAGATATAAGTGACGCCATCAGGCTTCTGTAAGAGAGCTTTGCGACAATAGAATGTATAGCCAACTGTGTTTTGAGTCTTTGGACGATATGATCTATCTTTGGCACGTTCTCTTAATTGGCGACGATTTTGTTCTTCGCACCATTTTCGACAGTCTGCTTTTTTCACATATTGCTTTCGTAAGTGCTCTAAACAGTCACGTTTTTTTGCTTCAAGCTTTGAATTTATGTGATCTTCTTGCTCATTGTCTCGATTCGATTTTCCACGAGAATTAGTATCGAAACATTCAGCAAGTATCTCTTGAAAGCAATTCACAGCACGATCGATGGCTTGATCAAATGATTTCGTTTTAGTCAATGTATTGTGATTATTATTGGTGTTTAGAGGTGATGAGATTGTATCAAAACTACTTAATGAAATAGTTGAGAGTTTGGACGAAGACAAAACAAATGACATCGAATGAATAATAAGATATATAAGACAAAAGAAAAAGAATAAAATCAATATTTTTCTTGCGCCATGATTGATAGGCATTGACTCTTTTTCTTTAGGATGGTGTTGCTCGAACAGCGTACCGAGGTGTCGTTCAATGCCGTTTTGGTAGAGCAAGAGTTTATGTTACTCCGAACAAAATCCCATGGAAAGGTTATGGTAATCTTACTGCTGCGTAACGTTGATTATAATTTCGATATTCTCTAAGTATTTATTGTGATAAATGGCCTTGAATTTTCTTATTTCACATGTTTCGAAAAATGATCTGTGATTTTTATTATTTTTTTTTGCTTATCTATCTTCTCAATTTATGTCACATATATTTTGCCATTTCTTTGTTTTGTGAACGATTTCAGTATTCAATAAAATCAATTTTTAGAACAGTAAATGTTTTTTCAAGATATGAAAAAGTATTTATCATCATGAGTAACGCTTACTGGCATAATCTCAGACCTGGCATGTCCTGGTGCTACCACACCACCTATCGAATTCTGGCTACGCCACTAGGAGACAACACTGGACACAAATACCACTCATTGCACGACGTGTTTCGTTTTATCCCACTAGAACTTGACATGTGATTTGTCCTTTTCTGCTAGAAAATAGTAGTCACTGTCAATACGAAAAACATTGGTCGTCAGTCCGAGATCTCATAAAATTGCAGTGAGGGCGCTTTTACAGACGAAGGCATCATTTGTCCACGATAATGTTCTATTCCCTTTTCTGGAAGAAAGGGTTATAGAAACATAAATACAGTCGTGAAAATGCATAAAGTTTGTTTGTTTGCATAATCCGATCAGATTGCAGCATATTATAAATCAATGAAATTTATCTATAATCATCAAAGATTGACCACTGATGAGGTAACCGAGGTCAAGGATCTCGAATCCGATGTCAGTTTTTCGAGACTTCAAACAGCGAATTAGTTAATTACTAATTATGCAATGAAAAATTTTTTGGTTGTTGAGTAAGACTCGACTGAAGGGTAATCGGGGTCTAAGATATCGAATCTGGTGTTAGTTTTTCTGTAGAAAAATTCTGTTCTGTTTTTTCAGAAAAAGTACGATTTTTTGCAAGGAAGATTTTTTGTGGGCGATAGTGTTTGAAGCAGCAATATGTAGAATAAAACGAAATAGCTGATTAACGTCCGACTGCTGGATACTCATACTCATCAGCATATTGATGGTATTACAATTACATAAACNCTTTACATAAAATACTATCCTCCACAGCCAAATAATACATCAAGTACTATTTTTGCCCTTCGTTGTAACTGCTCGCATTTGTATATCACAGTTATTATATTGTAAGAAACTAATCGGAAGTTAGCTGATAGCAGGACTATGGATGTTTTAAAATAAGTTACTACAGCGTTCTTGTAGATTTCATAATTATCGTTAAAACCATCTGTTTAGGGATATTGAAAAGCGGTTTAACTTTTCCAATAAGCTAAACGTCTTGTTTCCCGAGAGAATCGATAACATTTAGTGTTTCGAAGGTTTTCCACATTTTCTTATTTATTAAAATACCACGGAGTAATTAATTCATCAAAATGAATTGACAGCAAATTGTTAGATCACCTCGATGAGGGATCAGCTGTCATTCTATTTATATGAAAGATGGTGAATGTTCTAACTCACCCTTCAACACAAAAACCAGATACGCAGCTTAGGGATAGCAATTTAACTTAACTTTGAATGTTCTAGTTAACGTCACCTCTGCAGTAAACCGTAGCTCAATTTTATAGTTTTTGGCTTTAAAAAGAAATCAAAGATCATGTGACTGTTTTTTCAGGTTGAGAAACGATCATTTTTGTTTTTGTTTTATCTATCATCGAATAAGATTTGAAAAAATGAAACAAACACACCGACGTGAGAAATGCTGCATGAAGCTCTATCAGCAAACTATATCGTGGAACTTATTACAATCATCTGTTTCTTTTAACTAAAAACATCAAATGTTGCAAAACAATCAGTGAAAACTGACTGGGTAACATTTAGTGTCCTCGAAAACAAAACATACATACTCAAAATAGATCTCTAATCTAAGCCGTAGAGTTTTTCATATTCCCTTACAATTTTTAGTTTAAAAAATTAATTTAGAGATGTTAATTCCTTTTGATGAAAACAGAATCGGTTTCCAAAGGAGCCAAAGCCGTAAAAGATGTCCTGTTTTCAATTTTGTAATTTACCACTGTAACTGTGAAACCAGAATTCACTGCGCATACGTATTCTAATGCCATCTATCTGTGCACGCCAACAATTCATAACAGTTGAAACGATTACACGTCATTTGTTTTCGTCAAAAATATATATAACTACATCATCACCATGAATTACTACTCATAGCGAACAAAACCAAATATTTTTCATCGCTTCCAGTTTCTACGGTACGGTCTGCTGCACGATTGAAATACAACATGCACACATTTTCCACATTACCTGTCGAACTAGTTTATCGAATTATGGATCATCAAAATGACCGGACGCTATTTTGTTCGATGCAAAATATTTGTCGGCGGCTCAATCAGATCCTGAGTACTTACCAGCGATATCAAGTAAGTTTACTTGGTATCCTAACATTCATCTCCCCTGTGCTATACATAAGCTTAATGGTATTTGATGTCCTAGATTCCCTCATAGGACAACCCAAACTAATTTCATAATTCACAAACAGTTTGCTAGCATGAGACAATCACAGGCAGAAGTCATATGAAATCAAGCATTCCATCACCCTCTCCCTTTTGTTCTATGTACATTGAGGATGCATTCGACCGATACGCCACCATGAACGAGCAAAACGCTTACTTATGCGTTACCGTTTCTGCGTTGCACTAATCGACACAAAAATTGCATCAATTGCAATTTTTGAGGGAACTAATCTACTGAAGCAAACAACACTGTACAGTTGCTTCACATATGCCAACATTCATTCTCAACACGGGTACATCAAGTCCCGCTCCTACATTTCAGAAGAGCAGGACTTGGATTTCCCTGGAGCGCGTCTTCAAAAGAGAAATCTCATTACCACCAATATATATTGAAACTTATGTCCTACTCTTTCCGACTCCATCCTATCAAAGTAATCTCCAGTCTAGATTCTCGACTCAGCACTTCTTTCCGGAACTACAACTAGCATCATCATCCACCCGAAGAATTCACATTTACACCCAACTCCTCTTAAAAATCTACCGCACACATAACTATTTCAAATAACGTACATACCATCCGAAGTGTCATCAAAGGTTTTCTTTACTACTTCCGCTTTTCATTACATACTACTTCATTCTAGACACTCACCACACTTGACCTCAGTTGGAACCAAATGCGTGCTGAAGGAGCACAACACATTGCTAATGCGCTGCGAACGAATACGGTAATATTGATCTCATTTTATAGAAGACCAAGCATTCAGTCTATCTTACACCTACAGACACTCGCCACACTTCACCTCATTGAGAACGGAATCGGTGCTAAAGGAGCACAACACATTGCGGATGCGTTGCGAACGAATACGGTAATATTGATCTCACTTAATTAGAAATGAAGCGCTCAGTCTATCCCACACCTACAGACACTCACCACACTTCACCTCGGTCGTAACCGAATCGGTAATGAAGGAGCACAAAACATTGCGGATGCGTTGCGAGCGAACGCCGTAATATTGATCTCATTTCATAGAAGATGAAGCGCTCAGTCTATCTCACACCCACAGACACTCACCACACTTCACCTCATTGAGAACCGAATCGGTGCTAAAGGAGCACAACACATTGCGGATGCGTTGCGAACGAACGCAGTAATATTGACCTTATTTCACAGAAGATGAAGCGCTCAGTGCATCTCACACCTACAGACACTCACCACACTTGACCTCAGTGGGAACCTAATCGGTGCTGAAGGAGCACACCATTTTGCGGGTGCCCTGCGAACGAATACGGTAATATTGATCTCATTTTATTAGAGATAAAGCACTCAGTCTATATCACACCTACAGACACTCACCACACTTCACCTCATTGACAACGGAATCGGTGCTAAAGGAGCACAACACATTGCTAATGCGCTGCGAACGAATACGGTAATGTTGATCTCATTTCATAGAAGATGAAGCGCTCAGTCTATCTGACACCTACAGACACTCACGACACTCGACCTCAGTGGGAACCTAATCGGTGCTGAAGGAGCACACCATTTTGCGGGTGCCCTGCGAACGAATACGGTAATATTGATCTCATTTTATTAGAGATGAAGCACTCAGTCTATCTGACACCTACAGACACTCACCACACTTGACCTCGGTCGTAACCGAATCGGTGATGAAGGAGCACAACACATTGCTAATGCGCTGCGAACGAATACGGTAATGTTGATCTCATTTCATAGAAGATGAAGCACTCAGTCTATATCACACCTACAGACACTCACCACACTTCACCTCCACGAGAACGAAGTCGGTGATGAAGGAGCACAACACATTGCTAATGCGCTCCGAACTAATACGGTAATATTGATCTCATTTCATAGAAGATGAAGCACTCAGTCTGTATCACACCTACAGACACTCACCACACTTGACCTCGATCGTAACCGAATCGGTGATGAAGGAGCACAACACATTGCTAATGCGCTGCGAACGAATACGGTAATATTGATCTCATTTCATAGAAGATGAAGCACTCAGTCTATATCACACCTACAGACACTCACCACACTTCACCTCATTGAGAACCGAATCGGTGATGAAGGAGCACAACACATTGCTAATGCGCTGCGAACGAATACCGTAATGTTGATCTCATTTCATAGAAGATGAAGCGCTCAGTCTATATCACACCTACAGACACTCACCACACTTCACCTCATTGAGAACCGAATCGGTGATGAAGGAGCACAACACATTGCTAATGCGCTCCGAACGAATACCGTAATGTTGATCTCATTTCATAGAAGATGAAGCGCTCAGTCTATCCCACACCTACAGACACTCACCACACTTGACCTCAGTTGGAACGAAATGCGTGCTGAAGGAGCACAACACATTGCGGATGCGTTGCGAACGAATACGGTAATATTGATCTCATTTCATTAGAAATGAAGCGCTCAGTCTATCCCACACCTACAGACACTCACCACACTTGACCTCGGTCGTAACCGAATCGGTGATGAAGGAGCACAACACATTGCTAATGCGCTGCGAACGAATACGGTAATGTTGATCTCATTTCATAGAAGATGAAGCACTCAGTCTATATCACACCTACAGACACTCACCACACTTCACCTCAACGAGAACGAAGTCGGTGATGAAATAGCTCAACGTATTGCAGATGCATTGGGAAGGAATATAGTAAGATTGATGCTGTGCTCCAAGAAGTTTGTAATTTCTGTTTTGTCTCATTCTTAGAGCGCCAAGATGGTATAGATCTGGCTTTAAATTCAATCGGAGAACAAGTTACCGTGGATCTGATGGCTCTTTGTGTTGATCAGATCTTTTTCGATTGAGAACTTAGTAGTTGTTATTTTTTGTGTGGTTTTTGTGACATTGATGAGTAATAAAGGTATAGAAAACGAATGTTGTTGTGAGAATCGAATGTTACCTGAATGTTAATGCTTTTTTTTCTGTGAAAAATGCATGTGCATTGGTGAAAATGAATGGTTTAGTTACGAAGTTATAACCGAGCAGTGTCTGGTACAAGAGACGCCATAGTGCGGTGGGTTTATCAGTGATCCTCTCGGTTTAGAATTTGTTTCTGAGAGGGCATGATGAACAAGACAACATTACTGTAGACAGCTGGACTATATTGGAGATGTAGAAGAATGGGATCGATGGTAGTAGGAGAGAGTAGTATTCATCCGTTATGTATGAGTTCTACGGTGCTTTTGAAAGAAACACTGTTATAAACTGACTAGAATGGCATAGTGAAGAGAGAATAATTACAAAATAGCACACCCAATCGTTCTGTTAGATTAATCATTTCCCATCATCAGCGTAGTCTGAAAACAACTTATTTTGCCGAATATGATCAGCACTATTCGCTCTTGGTGCTTATCCATGTTAAAATATCAGGGAAGTGTTTTTGCAGTACTTTGTCGTGGAAAGAGCTTTGCAATTTATTTTCGAGCTCGCTTGTATATCATTCTGATAACAGGGCTTTGTATTATGGTTTGTTTACATCGAACATCTCGACACTGTTTGAAACGCTCAGAAGTTTGAAGTCGTATGAAATTTCATGATAGGGAGCTATTGTACCCTTGCTCTGAGATCTATCTTTTGAATGATGACAAAGCTGAAACCGCTCAGCTGTGCATAATTCAACATCATAGTCTGTGCGCTAAAATATTACATATATATTCGTAGTGTTCTTTAACATTACACTGTGTTAGGATATATGTTATCTGGACATTTCCATGTCCTTTTCTTTCATTCTCTGCTTTCATTCGTTCTTTCTTGTCGTCCTTTCTATATGACGGTTGATATATGTATAGATGGGATTTATC